AAAACTGATCTATGTAATATGTGTATGGATTGGCATTAAAAAATATTGTTCAGTTACTTTATTTACGCATAAACGACGTGCAAAGTAACAGATCAGGTATCTTACGATGTTTACGTGTAGACGCCCAATGCTGGATCCCGTTAGGCCGTCGTATGCGTTCATCCGCGACTGGACAAAAATCCGCGTGATTACACGTGCGCGCACGCGGCAATGCGCGCCGCGCATAATGAAGGAGCGGGCATCGTCTCCGAGACGCGACGCGACAGGACGCGACGCAAACGGCCGTTACATCATTTATCTTGCGGAAATCGTAGGACTCGTATCGAAATGGCCAACGCTACATGTCCCATCCGTGTAACGGTGTCGGGTATCTCATGCTCGCGATCCACGTGTGGTGCGAGACACGTAGGTGCGGGTCGCGTGCGTAAGACGTGCGTGCGGGAGTATGAATATCGTATCGGCAGTTTCAGGAGGAAGTTGACGAGGAAGCGACGGGCAAACTGTATTACCGTAAGGTATTATCGTATCCACGATAAAGATAATTTATTTGAAATGCACTATAACGAGAAGACTTTGAATAGTCTCGTGGGATGGGATTAAAAGTTACACTTTGACGTACGGTTGTCGCGGTAAAACATTTTGCTCGCACTTCCTCATCATCGTCGCGCACATGTTGATTGAACAGCAGTTTGTGTCAAAGGTATCAAATGCGTATAATTATACAGGACGTTTTAAATATCATAGCCTCTTTCTCTAAAATGAATAAATGAAGGTCAAACGGACACCAAACGCGATACCTAATGTTTCTATGTGAATGTTTATCATTTTCAGTTCAAGCAAATTGCACACCGATTATCTGTCAGTTATGAAATACAATCCAAATTAAAGCTGGAGTATGTAATATCATTAATTAAATTGGCGAGTAATTTAATATTACTGATGCTAACGAGCATATTTGAAATACTATTATATAAAGAATTTATAGCGGAAAATATCACCTCAACCGGAATTCAAGTCTTATAGGATTTTTCCCTCATTCCCTGACGGGCTTTTCTTCATGGAAGAAAAACTAAAGATAGCCAAGATGAAATAACTCTCTAATTCTTTGGAGTGGGATTTCACTGTAAAGAGTGAAAATTAAGCCAATTTTGAGAAAGATTGGCTCAATGTTTAATCTTTAAGAGTGAGATTTCAGAATGAGATTTACTATAAAAAGTTTAGGACGTAATAATTTTAAATTTTAGATTTCTTCAAAGATACAGATAGCAATTCCTTAAGAATTACGTTAAAAATGCGCGCATCTAAGATTATCTCTCAGGACTCTGTATGATTTCATCCCCATAAGTTAGTTAGCAGCATGTTTTCGCATCTTTGAAACGTCCAGTACGTGAACGTGAATATATTACATTCCGCCCGTCTTCGTGGACGCGTCGCCTGATAATGAATCTCGGTGGAGAAAAGCTGCTGCCTTTATGACGTTCTAGTCGATTAAGCACGATGTAATCGCAACTACCCGCCGGCAGACGTGCGTTTCCTGCGTCTCTCTTCGTGTCGGATTGGCGACGGCGACGTAATCCAATTTGATGGTGACGGCATCTTTGCGCGATCCCATCCTCTGTGTCATGCCTTTCTGATCGTTGTATCATGTTGATATTGCTACTTACCAATATTTCTGCCTCTGAATATTTGCCTTGACATGAGGGATACAGCATGAAAGATGCATAGCCTTGTTTTTTGAATCTTCATGAATATAAAAAAGAAGTTTGAAAAAGTCGGTCCAAAATGTTAAATTGCTACTAGATTTTTATGAAAAATGTTTACCCTACTACTAGATCACAGAATCATACAGATGGGAATTTTATGTATAGGGATGACCAAGAGAGCCAATATGGTGACTTGAGACACAAGATTGTGTCGCCTTTTCAATGTTTCGTTTTTCTTGATGACTCCATATATTAATTCGTGGATCATTCGAATGATCCTCGGTCTTTTTGGTTTGCTTTCTTCTAAATTCTGAGAAATGGAGTGCATCGTAGGTTCTACTTCTGCCATCGTTGTGCTACATAAAATCCTTTCACTAGTATGGTTCTGTAACCCACTAAAACGTTCGGTAAAAGTTTCATGGAAACAATTTGGTTCAACGTTTTAGATCGATCCTTGCAGCTTTCCTCTTTTCCTCTTACAAAAAGACTCGAATTCTGTCGCAACGTTAGTTTCCTGTTTGACGACGAGAATATTGGAAAAACTGTTAGATTTAAGCATCCCCCGTTGTCACTCATGCACGTTAATAGCGTATAGCGCAGCTATAATAAACACGTGGATGTTAATGAGATACGATCATAATTTATAGGACGCTGTATAAGTCGCGGCGGTATGCGAAAACGATGCTAGGCGTGGCAACCGGAGACGCGGGCTCGGAGTGATCGTGAATGGGAATCCTGAACGTAGAATGATAAGACTCTCCACGAATAGTCTGGATATATAGATTCGCGCGTGTGCTAGCTGCGTTATAGCCATCGGGATGGCACTCATTTAAAACAGAACGAAAGCGACGTCTCGATGATGCTATCATTCACGAAATATAGTTTCACTTAAAGCGGCACTATCGCCAATTTTACGATACTTGCATTCCAATTCGAATTATGAGTATTATTCTGGATTTATTTACGATGCAAAAGAGAGCTGATAACATGTTTGCTGCACTGAAAGAAAAGATTGGCTGCTGCAGCAAATTATATGGTAAAATGTAGCCTAGCATTTTTAATTGGCTGTAACAGCCAATTTTTGGTTGTTTTAGCCTACCTACAATGTTAGTATAGAATTTCGATATAGGCTAACGCAATCAAAAATTGGCTACTGCAACCAATTAAAAATGCTATGCCGTATTCAGCCAATCTTTTCTTTCAGTGTGTTTGAATTCTTAAATATTTACAACACGTTACGTATAGAAAAAGTCGTCTTACTTGTTGAATCAGAACCGAACAAATTCGTATATCGAAAAAGAAAAAAAAAATGTCGAAATATATTCTGAAAATGTGACTTTTATAGTAATTATTTTCTTGGTACAATTTCACGAGCAAAATAAAAGAGCCTGATGAAAGTGGTACGTATGCACCTACAAAAGCACGGTGCATAAAGAGGTACATCAAAGATAACAATTCACAATACCGTCCGAATCATAACGAACATAATGCGTCGAGGAAAAGATCGCGAAGATTATTATGTGAGGCGCCCGTTCTGCAGGTCGCAGCCCTGCCGTTCTGTCGTTCCGAACAGCAACTAAATGAACAAGATTTATCATTTGTTAATGTCACGAATGTCATGATAGTCTAGAAACGCCGTTGTGTTAACTAGGTCATGTGACGTGAGCGCGTTACTCCAAATTAACTGGCTAAATGTGTCACGCGCAAATCGGACGGTGATAGGCACGATAAATCATATTAGCGGAAGTGCAACGCTGATATTGTCAGCTAGACACGCTTCGACCTTCAAATACATAATACATATGTGCAATTGCAATCGCGTAAATAGTTCACTCCGAATCAATATCTGCCGGCGGCGAAATGCAATCAGAAGTGGTTTCATTGAGACAATGTGGAAAGAGCAGTCTCGATCATATAAATGGTAAAATTATTACGCTGAAATAATCGCCTTTGAACACTCGAGAGATGTGTTCAATGTAGTTATTTTTAAACGTGGTCGACAAATTACAGGAAGAAGTCTTGAAAGAAGTGCTTGCAAGTACTTACAGGATAAATAAAGCACTCCATTATTAAAGTCTAGAAATTGTCTTCTTGGATATAATCCTGTTCTATCTGTTTTATTTTTTAGTTTTACTTTTAAACTGGGACATAAGTTACTCCCAAGAACTGCAAAGTACTAAAGTCGTTATTCTCGGTGAAGAAACAATTTTTCTTATCGTCCTTATCTATGATTTATGATCCGTGCTTATCGAAATGTCGTATCGAAATCGTTTTGCCATTCTTAAAAAGAAGACATGCCTCCAACAGGTCCAACCGATGTAAACATGAAAAAAAGAGCTGCATGGAGATGAGAAAACAAGATGTACCGCAAGTTCGTCGAGAATGATAGCCCGTCACGGCTGCTGCTTGGACAGTCTGACCTCATGCCACGAGGCCGCGACGATATATTTACCACCTGGAAATGCTTAGAAGGGATTTCTCATCAACGTTTTCTATTATTGGACGGTCTTATTGAAGAGAATACTTTAGTGAGGACCGCCACGCGCCTGTCGCGTGAAAATTATGGGATAGAGAGCATAACAATGGTACATAAAACACTCGGCAACAAATTATCTTGAACCGTCGTAATTTTGATTTGCGTTTTAAGTTTTTTCAAAAATACAAATTATATACATTGTAATTAAGGTATTATTCAAAATTAAAGGGATCGCACGTCAAGATCATAATTAATTTTCATCTCCAGAAAGTATTTTAAAATAAACAAGTTTTTAATTATGCAGTATAATATATCGCTCCCTTACTTCAAAACGCAACTCAAAATATTAAATATCTCAAAAAAGAGAAAAAATATTTTTCAATTTAATCTAGAAAATTATTGATTAATTATATATCTGCAAAAAGAATATAATTGTACGTTATTCTTAAGATGATCAAATGTCATTTTTGTTTCATATAATTCTTTAAAAAAAATTATTCTTTTTGAGTTATGACGATTTTTGAATTTGACGATTTTTTTTATATTTATAAAGTTAATTCACTTTTAATATTTATTTAATTCATTCCTAGTAATAACTTTTTCACATTTATTTCTTAAAGAAAACATAGTACGGTGTAAAAATAAATTATAATAAAAATATAGTAATAACATATAATTTTTCAAGTGAACAAGTTAAACATTATATTTATAGTACTTTACTCTCGCTTCGGTTTCAATCTTTTGTACGAGTCGTGTGCAAAAGATTCAAAGAATACTAAGCACAGAGAAAACCTTTCAAAGAGACCGCCATACGAAATCGATACTGTACGACGGCGGCGCTCTGAGTTTCGTGCCATGTCAATTGTGTAACCACTAGCACATGCTGCGTAATACTTTCTCTTCACTTGTATTTATCCAATCGCGAAAGAAAATAATTATATGCGTTTGTATCCATGTGAGAATATGCACGTTGTAAATCGTGAGTGTCGATATTTGTGACGTACCAAGTAAAGTATAATACTTGAGTCCTCAAGCGACCAACATCGAGCAGCATCTACTGGCCCAATGACTGCAGCCATCTATTTGCCAGCACAAAAGCGTCGCGCATGCGTGAAAAAGTGAGCTAAGAGTGCTATAGATACAACAGATTTCAAGTGTACTAAAATCTTAAAAATCTTAACAAGACTCCTAGTTTTTTTTTTAAACAGATATTTATTAGTGTAATTCTTGCAGAATTAATATCGAAGAATATAAGATAGATAAGAGCTAATTACAAATGTATACTGTACTTATTTGATTGATATTTACTGCGGAAAAGTATGAAATTCCGCAAACGCGACTGCACAGAGTTAATTTAAATTCGCAGTGCGATTCTTCAAATGTTAATGTAACAATAAGAAAAAATTAGATCAGAAGGTTATCGTCCCATCGTAATTTGCAACGAGTAAGAACGAGATTCAGTCTGTACAATTCCGATTGTCCGACTATTATCAGCCAGTAGAAAGTATTCACTTTCTATTGCCATTTAAGAATAAGTGCGCAAAAATTTCGAAGGAATTTTATATTTGCTGAACAACGTACGATATTTCTTTATTAATATTTGTTTTCACTAATATTAACTTTAATTCAAGGATTGGCAAGTAACGCGTTATTTGTAACGTCGTTTCCGTTACAAGTTACTTTTTGGTAAGTTGAGTAACGACGTTACATTTTCTTCTAAATAACGTTCATAGTAACGCAATTACATTTTTGATAATGATAACGATTTTACTAGTTACTTTTATCACTACTTTATTTTTATTTACGTAAAAATTTTAATTGTAATCGGAGCATATGAATATAC